CTGATGTGGAATGAAGGCTAGAGGTTGAGATGTTATTTTTGACATCTCAAAAGCAAGATGTCAAATGAATATTTTATTATTTTTTAAAGACAGCTGACTATTACTTTCATTTATTATTTTCCTTTTTTATTTTTTTTATTCTTTATCTTAAATGATTTGACTGTTACAATAATTATTTATTTGACATATCGGGTGGAGTGTAAAAGTATGTAAATGTCAAATTGCCACATCAGCCATCAAATTTAAATTTGATGTTTGGTATTTGACATCTCCCTTGGAGATGCTCTAAGACGCACATGTTTTGACACCTGACACTTGAGTTGAAATTGGCTAATTTTCGTGTAAATTGTAACAACCAAATATATTATAATTTATAAACTTGTAGCTCTGTAGCTGTACTAATACGACTTCCATGTTCATTTGAAATCGCCTGCTCTGCATATAATTTCATAATTCATTCATTCCAATTCTCCAAACGACTTGTGCATATTTACATGAGGATACAGAAGATAACATCATACCAGTAAGAAGCTATTGTTAGTTTGTCTCTTTCCTTGTTTTTGTTTGTTACATTTGTCTCTTTCCTGTACCTAATCATAGTTGCATCCAAAACCATTCGTTGGCCAGCGAAGTATCAGCTGTTCAATTTTCCAGTTTTAATTGCAGCTAGATTGACTGGAAGATTGAACAATAAGTCAGAGACGCAGAGAGAGAGAGTGTGTGAGTGTTTTTCTGAGCTAGCTAGCTATGGATCCTGAGAAGTCGTCAAGTGGAAGCAGAGGGAAGCCTATTCGATGCAGAGGTTCTTTTTTCATGAGCTTTTTAAAACCTTTTTCTTTGATTATTGGTCAACTCTCTTGCTTTGCTTATAAGTTAGAATGAATTGTCATATGATGAAAATCAAACTGATAACATTGTCGCATGCAATGCAAATCTGTGTGTAAAACAAACGGTAGCTGCGGTGAGTCGCAAACCAGGTGAGCCTCTAGTGATGGAAGAAATCATTGTGGCACCCCCAATGCCTCATGAAGTCCGCATTCGAATTATCTGTACCTCTCTGTGTCACAGCGATATCATTTTCTGGAAAATGAAGGTAGCTTATTGTCAGTCAATCAAAGACCAAACCCATACTCTCTTTTTTTTTTTCATTCAAGAAAAAAAAAAACTAGTTATAAGAAGGTGTTGATGCTTATCCATAGCTTTTTATTTGCTAGGACTTTCCTGGAATCTTCCCAAGAATTCTCGGTCACGAAGCCATCGGGTGAGCTCCAACCATATGGTTTTGTTATTAGCATTCGCATTTTTTGTTTCTAGGAATCACAAAGAAAAACTGTTAAATAATTCAGGGGAAGAATGAAAGACCAAAGCTAATATGCGAATATTCGTTGTAGGATTGTGGAGAGTGTTGGGGAGGATGTCAATGAAGTAACTGAAGGAGATACTGTCATCCCAACATTCATGTCACAATGTGGAGAATGTGCAGATTGCAGATCGACAAAGAGTAACCTATGTACAAAACTCCCCTTCAAGGTCTCTCCTTTTATGCCAAGATACGATACAAGCAGATTCACTGACCTCAATGGGGAGGTTCTATACCATTTCTTGTTCGTGTCTAGTTTTACTGAGTATACAGTGGTAGACATAGCCCATGTCACAAAGATTGACCCTGCAGTAACTCCAAGCAGGGCCTGCCTTCTCGGCTGTGGAATATCAACCGGTATTATTTTAATTTCCTTATGTTCTGGTCTTGTTCTTGAGTGACTTGATGAGGTGTTTGCAAATTTTATACTTGAATTGCCTTCAGGAACCCCATCCTTTTCTCACCAAAAGTTACAGCACATTATGATATTTCTCAAATTTGGATTTAGGAGTCGGTGCTGCTTGGAGAACAGCAAATGTGGAGGAGGGATCTACTGTTGCTATATTTGGACTGGGTTCAATTGGTTTAGCTGTATGCATTTGCAGAACTTACTCAGGATATCTTTTTACTTATTTGACTGAGTGTATGAGAAGGCTCACATCACATCCATGGTTGAATTATCCAGGTTGCTGAGGGAGCAAGACTGTGTGGAGCTACTAGAATCATTGGTGTGG